GGGATTCCTACCCTTGATCCCCCTTTTCGCCGGATTAAGTGCCTTGGGGGCGCTCGTAGGGGGAGCTGCAGGTGTGGCCAAAACGGTCGTTGATGCCAAGAATGCACAAAAGAAATTGGAGGAAGACCATCGCCATAACAAAGCTATGGAGTCTTTGGGCAAAGGATTGTATTTGAGAAAAAATGCTAAAGGTGGTTATGGGTTGTACCTCAAAAAAAAAACTCAAAAAAACTAAACATCAAGCTACCCAAGAAAGCGCTTTATGATTATGAAATAAAGCAATATGCGAAGCTCTTGAACATACCTCATTTCCGAGGTGTCTTCATGCGTGACACTTTACCACGAGACGGTCCACGTAAAAGAGAATGCGCCGTCGTGAACTTAGATATTTCACAAAACAACGGAACTCATTGGGTAGCTTATAAAAAGATAAACAACAACGTTGAGTATTTCGATTCATTTGGTAACCTGAAGCCTCCACAGGAACTTGTTCGATATCTGAAAAACGCTAAAATTTTCTACAACAACGATCCTTACCAAACTTATAATCAAGTTAATTGCGGACAATTGTGTTTGAAATTTCTAAACAATAACAACAACAACAACGATGGATAATAAAACATTATCGGAATTTACATTAGAAGAGTTTGAGAAGAATATTCCGCCGCTGGAATATTTAATAAGCAATGTGAGACCTGCAGAATTATTGAGTATATGGCACAAACTGCCTGCAGAATACACATCCAATTTTGATCTTCAAATACGACTTCCATGCTATGTTCACTACAACAGACCTGATTGGACAACACATTGGGATGGACCGGCTACTGCTCAAGCAAATTGTTATTTCTGTAAATTATCCATTCGAAAATAAACAAAAAAAAAAACTTGAATAAATGCTTAGTACACAGCTATATTTTTTCATTCATCATGTCGCAGTTGTTGAGAGTCAATAGCACTACTCATATATTTTCATTTCGTCCTTCAACACCGATAGTGTTGGATCCGAAAAAAGATTATGAATTGGCGCTTAGGTCTTTTACTTCATACAATTCCATACCGAATATTGAAAAAGGAGATAAATTTTATTATATCGACCGGATAGGTGGTGGTGGTCAATTAAAAGTCATCGAGTTTCCGACAGGTTGTTATGAAATTACCGACATAGAAACATTTATACGAACGCAAATGAATCTTGAAAATGAAGTTGCTCCTCCGGATGATTATTTTTCTCTAAAACCTAACAATAATACACTGCAATGTGAAATCTTTAGCAAGTATTATAAAATAGTTTTTACAGAACCGAATAATCTTGGACATCTATTGGGATTCTCGAAAAAAGTTCTTAATCCTGGTCAAAAGCATTCTTCTGATTTACCTGTAAACATAATAAAAGTATCAACCATACACTTTGATGCTAACATTACGTCGGGAGCCTTTGACGGAGACACGCCTGCACACACGATCTACGAATTTGCTGTGACAGCCGATCCTGGATACGCTATAGTCGAAACACCTGTAAATTTACTATATCTACCTGTTATACCGAAACAAGAAATAACCAACATCACAGTGTTGGCTTTAGATCAAGACGGTCGTCCTGTAAACTTTCAAGGTGAAACTAGTACTCTTGTGTTGGAGTTGAGAGCGAAGCGCAGATGGGATTAGTGATTATAAGACATAGTGGTGCTTCCAAGGCAACTTCAGTATTACCCCAAGCACCTAAGCGACGACATCTACTACTAACTACATCAAATATCCTGTTTCTACGCTCACTTGGATATCATGTCAACATCAACAAGAATCATGTACAAAAAGAGAAAAACTGAGGAGGCAGCAGCAGCAGCATCACATACTTCTCCGATGTTTGATCTATATCGATCTCCAGCATTCGATGAATCTATTCGCAAGGCTGAGTATAGATCTTATACGCCGTTCATCAAGTCATTTAATTGTAATGATGTTGTGGAATTTAGCATCAATCAAGTAGATTCGTTCTTTGCAATGAACGCTTCCCTTCTATCTATCAAAGGAAAAGTTGAAATAACTGGAGGAGGAGGAGCAGGAGATGTATCTTTAGCTCCAAACTTTGGTGCCTTCCTATTTGACTCTTGCACTTACAGTGAATCCGCTAGAGAAGTTGAAACAGTACGTGATCCTGGTATTGTAAGTACTGTCCGAGCTTACGTATGTTACAGTGAGGAAGACTCAAATCATATGGCTATAGCTGGATGGAACTATCCTTCAACACCTATAATGGCGTCAACACATAACAAGTCTTTTAGCTTGCTAATGCCGCTTAAACATATTTTCAACATTTTCAATGATTATCCTATGATTACGTGTGGCAGACAAACTCTCAGATTTGTGAGAGCTAGAAACGATAACGATTGTATCATTATCAAGGAAAAAACTGGAACGACGACGACAGCGAAAATAACTATTGAAAGCATGGAACTGAAAATCAAACATATTTACCCGAGTGATGATGTGAAAGAACAACTTTTGAAAGCTATTCAAACTGATAAGCCGATACTTATACCGTTTAGAAAATGGGATCTGAATGAACTGCCTGCAATTACCGCAGATGCGAGAAGAGAAATATGGTCAGTTAAAACTAGCACCGCAATCGAAAGACCACGTTTCATTATAGTATGTTTCCAAACCGGTAAACGTGACGTCGCAACCTCAGACCCTACCCTGTTTGATCACGTGAATGCTGCTAGTATTCGAGTATCTTTAAATGGTGAATACTATCCCAACGAACGTATGCAATTGGACTTTGCAAACAATCACTTTACTGAAGCTCATTTCAACTATAGCGACTTTCAAACCAGCTATACAACTTCTTCTTCTCCTCTGAAGAGATGTCTTTTAGATTATACCGCTTTTAAAAATCGCGCTTTGTTTGTTATTGACTGTTCCAAACAAGAGGAAACCATGAAATCATCAACTGTTGATGTTAGATTGGATATCGAAGCCGATACTGGCTTTCCAACCAACACCAAGGCCTACTGCATCATTATACATGACTGCTTAATCGAGTACTTCCCCCTCACCGAAGTTATTAAAACCATCTCGTAAGCAACGAAGGACTCTCAGTTCCGCATCAGACATCATGAGGATCGCGTTTGTTGACATTCAAGGCTTTACAGTTGACGGATTATTCGTACCTAAAGAACTATGTATCGAAATTGGTTTCAAGAAAAGTCATTACATCTTTACACCTCCGCAACCTTTTTCTACATTAAATACTAAAGACAAGAAAACTGTCGCTTACTTGGAGAAGAATTTCCATGGGCTTAAATATTCTTCCGGCGACGTTAAATATTCCAAGTTAAATGAAATAATTAAAAATAAGGTGATATATGCGGCTGACTATGTCTACGTTCGTGGAGAACAGAAAGCAAACTTTTTACTCAAGAAATGTCACATTTTTGGTGTTTTTCCCAACATTATTGATGTTTGCAAGTATGATGGTACACCGTGTGCTACTGGAAACTTTGTTGCTGATTCCAATCCATGCCACACCAACGGACAATTTTCCTGTACCCAGAGAAATGTTGAACGTCTACGCCACTGGTTTTCAAATATCATATTACCTATGTAGTTTTTTTCTATTTTCAATAAAATATTAAACGTATTATTGTAGTTTTATTGAAAATACCTCTGGTTTGCGAAATAATTGTCAGAATGTCTATACTATTTTCATTTTGAACGGTATCATCCTGTATAATAATAACAGTACATCGTATACAGGTTATGAGACATTCTGACCGACCGACCGACCGACCAGAGGAGCCCACCACGCTATTTAGGTCACGCCTTGCTATATACGATTTAACGATATACCGTCGGTCCATCGATCCGCTATTTTTCGATGCACCCCTGTATACACGTTGCCCCCCGTAATCCACGCCAACACCAGACAGGTGCGACATCGGCGCCATCTATGCGCGAGATGCCCAACCCATCAATGGCAGCTGTCCAATGACGCATAGATTCCGTTAGGTTTGTACACCGCCAAACAAATCTACGCCATTTATGCGCGAGATGCTCAACCCATCAATGACAGGTGTCCAATGACGTATGACAGATGACGTGTAACGCCATCTATGCGTGAGATGCCCAATGACGCATGACAGGTGTCCAATGACACACAGATTCCGTTTGGTTTGACAGCGCCATCTAGCGGCGGAATCCCCAACTCATGAATACAGATTCCGTCCAACAACCTGTCAATGGCGCGCGACGCCAGCGCCTCTGGTGGCGGATTTTGGAAGTTTTGAGACCGAATCCCCATAAGACATCTACTATTCCTCACACAACTAGCAACGTCGTCATCCGCTTTCACTGCATGTATCATCGCGTGTGTATCAGCACGTACCTGTAAAATCTTTAATTCTTTTTAAATAAATGTACTTATACTGAAAGCGTTATTAAATAAAAAATATTAGCTACAAGAAATTGCGTAAAAGCATTCAATAATTCAAGGCATACTTTCAACAAAAATATCATACAAACGTAAACAATTCGATGAATCAGTTGCGGTCGGCGTGCGCTAGTATCGCGGTTGCGTTGCAGCGTTGCCAAATGTTTGAGAAAATTTAATTATTCACGACTCACTTTCCTCGAAAACGATTGATTTTCGGACATAAGTTATAATGAACTTTTTTGCTTAGAATAATGCAAGGAATCGCTTCTTAAAGTTACGAATATTCTTTCCCTAACACGCTGTATACTATTTTCTACGTATATATCCAACAAATGGAACTCCTGGTGAGTTCTTAAGAAAACTCGTTTCATCGTTTGTCGTTGAATTGAAATCTGTCGACCTGGGTTGTGTTCAGAAATCAGTCAAAGTCAAACAGATAGAAAAGGAGAAATGATGAAGAAAGATACAGAGCAAAGAGTAAAAAATGTTGCTATTAATAATAGACTGGGTAGACGAAGCGTTAATATTAAAAAGACGTATTTTTACAGATATTATAGAAAATACTCCACGATGTTAATATTTTTTTGTTATTTGACAATTGCTTACCAGCAGTGTTCCTGTAAGATAATCTGGAGCGTAATCACACGGCAGTCCAGGTTCTCCCTTAGGCCCTAGATCGCCAAAGGCTCCTTCTAATCCGATTTCACCCTGTATACCGCGTTCTCCCTGCTTGCCAGGCAGACCCGGGATGCCCGGTACGCCTGGAAGTCCAGTGTCGCCTTTAAGTCCCATCGGTCCAGGAGTGCCCGGGAGGCCGTCAAGACCTGCTGGACCAGCGGGTCCTGGAAGTCCTGGCACTCCGGGATTGCCTCGATCGCCCTTAGGGCCCGGGAAGCCTGGTGGAGCGGCCTCGCCTTTCTGACCCTTCATACCTACAAAATAAAAGATACAATGAGAAGAAGAGAATCAAACTTGCTCGAAAAACTGCTATCCATTTTCGTTCGGGCACCCTAGATTGGGTTTCGTAGAATGTCAGGAAATTCTGTATACGAACCCAGTGTGCCCGGTGTTCCCGGTATTCCCGACAATCCAGCGTCTCCCTTAAGTCCTGCGAGTCCCGGGGGTCCAAGTCTTCCTGGTATTCCATCGAATCCTCTGTCTCCTTTGTCGCCCTTTGAGCCGGGAACACCAGCCAATCCGGTCAAACCTCGGTCTCCTTTCTCGCCCGGGGCGCCTATCAAACCTGGAGGACCTCGGTCACCCTGAAAGAATGACCGAATAAATCGAGTGTTCTTCGTCGTTGTAGAAAACTTTTATTGAGTTAGATCCAGCAGGGACAACAAGGGCGCTGGTCAGAAGCACAATATTAATAAAAAAATGTATACAAACTTACTTCAATTTACAACACCTCCTAAGAATTTATCGCATTCCCGACGCTAGGAAAAAATCCTCCATTAAATCTATTTCTAAGGGTGGAGACAGGTATATATTAGATAATTACAGGGCTAGTAGCAGCCGGTGTATACTCTCGAAGATCTTCGAATGGCTTATTTATAACTAAATATACTAAGTAATAAATAAATCGTACCTTTTCTCCTAGGTACCCTGGCGCGCCTTCCATTCCCGGCAGTCCCGGGGGTCCGACAGGTCCCATGGGTCCCGGAGCTCCGTCCAGTCCCCTATCGCCCTTCGGCCCTTGAGGTCCCAGAGGCCCTGGAGGTCCAGGTGGTCCCATCCTACCCGGCAGCCCTTGAAGACCGAGTTCTCCCTTTTCGCCTTGCCTTCCATCCAAACCGATGCGTCCGTTTTTGCCCGGTAGACCTGGAAGACCCTTTTCGCCCTTCATCGTCAGACCGGGAATGCCTTCTCTGCCTGCTGGACCTCTATCGCCTAAAAAAAAGGTGGATTGGAGTAGAATGTTTTTATTCGGCCCTGCCCTATTCATTAAACTTTGAAATATTGACACAAATTTGCTCTTAGCTGCTACAGATCCTAAGAATGTACTCGTATATGTATATTTAATTATAGGCTAATTCATAATGAAACTAAGACTTGTGCAATGTTATTTCACTGCAGAGCAATTTCTCAAAATTTAATTTGTTTTAATACTAAAGCAAATACATTATCTGAGAATGCTAGACTTCTTGGTATTGAATTAGATAGTTACAATCATAGTTATTTAAGAAATAAGCTCAATAAGGTACATATGTTAGTGTATAAGAATTGTTGCTGAGTATTTGAATAGAAAAACTTTGACGGACTTTATATGAATCAAAGTATCATCAGCGAAATATTGAATTTTGCATTTTTTGTCTAAGGCAGGTAAATCATATACGCATAAAATAAAAAGAAATGGTCCCAGGATACTACCCTGTGGAATACCTAACGTATTCTCAATTTTTGATGAAATATGATTTTTAAACCAGTTTAAAAACATTTTCTTATACCTATACCAGATGCCATCAATTTACCTAACAAAATATCTCTATCCCTTTTTTAGATAGTAGTAAAACTTTCAAGAGGTCAATCTACAAAAAAAATGTACACGCTACCCTTGAAATTTTTAACATCAAGCATGTCGCATCAGTATGTTAAAAATCCCGCATGTACTACTCACCTTTGGCTCCAGGTATTCCCGATGGCCCAATCTGTCCTTTGACCCCTGGGAAGCCGACATCTCCCTTCTCGCCCATCAAACCGATCTGTCCCTGGAAACCTCTGTCTCCTTTCTCTCCTTGCCTTCCTTGCGCCCCGAAGGGTCCCATTTCACCCTTGTCACCCTTGATCTGCACCAACGGGCCTGGTACGCCTCGATCTCCTAGATCGCCCTTAGGACCCGGATACCCTATCAAACCTGGCGGACCTGATGGTCCTCGATCTCCTTTAGCACCGTCGTAACCATTCAAACCCGGCATTCCTTTGTCGCCCTTTGCACCTGGAATTTATTTATACTTCAGCGTCTCAAATTATGCAGTCTTCGTTTCTTTCACGGTTTCTTTATATGGGTTATATATCCTATGTATAAAATTGACAGTTTTTTATTCAACAAAAATTTCATTATTTTGTCCATTAACTACTACAGGGTGACTTTGAAGTTGAGTCATTAATTTTCAGATAATGATTGTAGAAGGAAGATAAACCAAAATATGTGTGTAAAAATAAAAAAAAAATTAAAAAAAAATGTTTACCTTGTTTTATAAAGTATCCTCCCGACAAGTATTTCAGTGCAGACCTGTATTTGATCGTGAGGTCTTGGAGCACCGGCCGGCCGTCCATATGTGAGGTCTTAAGTCACCTGATTCACGAACCCGTTGTACTACATTAACAAAGGCACTCGATTGGGAAACCGATCCGCATAAACATGTGCCATTTTTTATTTCGTTTGAGCCACGCAACAGAAACCACTATTCACTACCGACTGACACTGACTGTATACAACTGAATGAAATAATTGTAAAAACATCGTTCCAAATTCTTTCGCTTTTTTGTTTCCGATGCGATGAACCGATAAGGCGGATTATATCCGTTGTCGCCAAACACGAGCACATAATATTATTATTGAGACAGGGCGGTACTCAAACTTCCAAAGGGCTATAACTTTGTTACTTTAATTTTACCAGAAAAATGGTAAAGGAACAAAACATTTCTTTTGATCAGATCTACCCACTGTTAAAATAAATGACTCAACTTCGAAGTCACCCTGTATATTATCTTGACACAAAGACAAATAAACTTATCTTCTAAACGAAAAAACATTTTTTTACATACATTAAAAAACGATAAGATTATTTTTCTGAAAATACGGTGAATATTGTAACTTCAAATATCAATTGAATTCTCATGTGTCTGCTATCTAAACGAAAAATCGTTTCGGTCCACGAATGTCCATAGCTCAATACGAGAGTTTCTTGTTTATATCTGCCTGATATTAAAATATAACATAAAAATGATTCGATATATACCTGGATATCCTGGTGATCCCGGATAACCTAGGTCTCCCTTTAATCCAGGAAGCCCGTCTTTGCCGTCCATTCCAGGATTTCCCGGTTGACCGGGGAAGCCTGAGTCTCCTTTGGGTCCCGGGAAGCCGTACGGTCCTACGTCTCCTTTTTCTCCATCGCGGCCTAGCAGTCCGTCCAAACCTGGAGGGCCGATGTCGCCTTTGAAGCCTGGTGTGCCTGGAATGCTTCTGCCTGGTGGCCCAGCGTCACCTGCAAAGATCAAAATCTCGTTAAATAGAATAGTTGATGGTTGTTTAGGTTTGATCTATAGTTTTCCAACACCTAGTAATCGCAAAGTCTTCCTGCTCTTCTGAATTCTCTACGCTACAACTTAAAAATCCTTCCTCTCCCATCTCTCTATATATTTATCTGTTTATGTATATGACCGGTGTAAGCACCAATAAAAAATGTCTACATATTTTGATACAAAAAAATGCTCTCGTGCCACTTACCTTTTCGTCCCGGTGGTCCTTGCGCTCCCGGTAGTCCTTCTTGACCTCGAAGTCCCGGTATTCCGGGTTCTCCCTTCTGCCCCTTTTCAGCAGCGCTTCCAGGTTCTCCTTTGTGACCTGGCGTTCCGGGGATTCCAGGCATTCCTTTTAGTCCAGACAAACCCGGAGGGCCTAACAACAAATTATAATGTTATTAGGACTTTTTAACTAAGGAGGGCAGGACTATAAAGTGGCATTTTGTACTTACCCGGCAATCCCGGTGGTCCGAACGGTCCTTGCATTCCCTTGTCCCCTGACAGGCCCATCTCTCCCGGCATGCCGATCAATCCCTGCGGTCCCGGGGGTCCCCTGATGCCTATCTCTCCCTTCTCTCCGGGTGCTCCTTGCATTCCATCCATTCCCGGTGCTCCCGGTGTGCCCGGTCGCCCCACAGCGCCCTTGAATCCTTTAAGGCCCGGGAATCCTGAGATTCCATGGTCGCCTTTTTCGCCTGGAAAGCCTGCCAAACCTTGTCTGCCTGGTTCGCCTCTTCGACCTGGTTCGCCTTTAGGGCCGTCCAAACCTGGCCTGCCCGGGATACCTGAGGAATAAAAAAATGGCGTCAAGTAGGTTGACTCAATTCTGGATAAATATCTTTAAATTTACCTTCGATTCCAGCTGGTCCTAGCGGTCCAGGCTCTCCCTTAGGTCCTTGAGGTCCTGGCAATCCGTTCAATCCCGGCTCGCCTACGTCTCCTTTTTCTCCGGGCAACCCAGACAGGCCGTCGTTGCCAGGTCTTCCAGTTTTTCCAGGAGGTCCGGGGATTCCCTTTTCTCCTTTGAAGCCGTACGGACCAGGTGGTCCTGGAGGTCCTACTTGCGGAATACCCGCATCTCCTGTGGTCATTAAAATAGAATATTGTTGATGTTTTCCAATATACTATACAAAAAAATTATTATCCTCACGATGTATTTAAAAAAAAAACGTACCCTTAGTTCCTTTTCCACCCATCAATCCAGGCAATCCAGACGCTCCGTCTCTTCCAGGTTCCCCAGGGAAGCCCATGGGTCCGATATCCCCCTTGTCACCTCTTGGTCCTGGAAGTCCCCTGTTTCCAACGGGACCAGGTTGACCTTCTTGACCTGGAGATCCTCTAGGTCCACTGTTTCCTTGGTCTCCCTTTTCGCCTCTATCTCCAGGGGATCCTGGGAATCCCATATCGCCCTTCTGTCCTTGAGGTCCTTGCTGTCCTTTCTGCGTCAATGGCGCCACGCATCTTCCTTGTTCTCCCTTAGGGCCCATCAGCCCAGGGAACCCTGCCATGCCTTTGTCACCTTTGGGACCTGTGTAGCCGGGTTCACCCTACGGAATCAATAAATACATAAATAAATCGGACTTTTAGGAGTTCATGACCGCCTATTGCCATGAACTGTTGTATCGACTCTCAGTTATACAAACCTTAATGCTGTGTCCCTTTTGTCCTTTGACGCCTGGGAACCCTGGTTGTCCAGGTTTTCCGCCCTGTCCTGGGAATCCGTCGTATCCTTTTTGTCCTTTTTCTCCTGGGAATCCATGCAAACCTTGCTCGCCCTTAGGTCCTGCAGGCCCCGGCAGTCCCTTAGGTCCTGGTGGTCCGTACGGTCCTCTGTCTCCTTTGTCACCCTTCTCGCCTCTGATTTGATCCACGCTAACAACAGCTGGTTTTCCCGGTTGGCCAGGTATGCCTGGGAAACCGTCTTTGCCTGGTTTGCCCTAAGGGATAGATTCGAAACATTTGAAAATTTTATTTAAAAAAAAATGCTGGTTGCGATGTGAAAAAATGCCGAAACTCAATCAAAAAATGATGAATTCGAATGGTTTGAAAAATGGCGAATTTGAATGGTTTAAAAAAAGAGGAATTCGAACTGGTTCAAAAAATGGCGGATACGTTCTAATTTCAAGAATAATATCAATATTCGATTAGTCCTTTGAAAAAATGGTGAAGTGCCATTTGATTTTTTACCGGTTTTCCTGGGGGTCCCGCCAATCCCGGTTGACCATCGAATCCGGCCGGTCCCATGTACCCTGGCGTGCCCGGAGGTCCGCGGGGTCCGATGGGTCCATCTCTTCCATCCATCCCTCGGTCTCCTTTATCTCCTCTTGAGCCTGGCACACAATCGATGCACCTGCCTCCGATGTCTCCCTTCTCGCCAGGGATGCCCGGGGACCCCGGGATGCCCGGTCGTCCTGCGTTGCCTTTCTCGCCTGCGGGTCCGATGGGGCCCGGTCGGCCGGGGACGCCGTTCAATGCGTCGCCGGGGGATCCTCGAAGTCCCATAAAGCCTTTTTCTCCCTTTTGTCCCTTAAGGCCATCTCGACCAGGTTGACCATCTTCTCCTTTAGGTCCCTAAATAAATGTCAATATGGTTAGCTTAAGTTAAGTTTGCGCATTATGGGAAATTTCAGGAATTACTATGAATTTTGGGGAATTAACGTGAATTACGTATTGAAGGAATTCCCAACATTTTTATAGCAAAAACTACTCTAATGACCTGTATCAGTTTTTATTACACAAGCAGTCGCTGACAGGAATAATTCACATCGATTTTTTGTAAAGCTCAATGGTAAATTTTAAGGAACTTTTGGGAGTTATGGGGAATTGTTAGGAAATTAGAGGAATTATTGGAGAATTATGGTACATTTCAAGGAGTTATTGGAGGAATTATTGAGGTGGAGATTTTTGGTAAACTATATCTCACTAATATTGACATTGATCTGCTTTGTCCTACAATAACTGACTAACCGTACGATGTTACTTATAGATCATGTAAACTTCATGTTTCTCACCATTATCGATAGTCCTTTCTCTCCAGTCAATCCTCTAGGTCCCTGGGGTCCGGGGGGTCCTGGGAACCCTCTTGGACCATCGCTTCCTGGGAACCCAATCGATCCCGCTTCTCCAGCTTCACCTTTCTCACCTGGTGCTCCTTCCGGCCCAGGAGTGCCAGGGATGCCTGGACCCCCTGGGGGTCCCATCAAACCTCTGGGTCCTGGTTCGCCAGGGAAGCCGTCCATACCTTTGGGTCCTGGTAAGCAATCAGATTTTAGAACAATTTTGGCAAACGTTTTTAGGTATATTATAAATAATTTTAAGTTACCTTTGTCAATAAGAACCATGTGATTATGTAGAGGATAAAGCATGTTTGGCTATCTATTTTTACCTTGCGGTCCCGGATATCCTCTGGGTCCCATCGGTCCAGGCGGTCCTGGGAATCCTTTTCCTCCACCGGGGGGTCCTGGAGGTCCCGGTAAGCCTACCGATCCTGCAGGTCCGTCCCTTCCTGCTTCTCCTTTCAAGCCTGGTCTTCCTGGAAGGCCAGGAATACCTTCTTGGCCTCGGTCACCTTTTTGACCCGCTGGTCCTGGGGGCCCCGGGAAACCATCTCTACCCTAAACAGGAAATAGTCATATTAAAGACCTTTGTAGCTATCTGGTCTTGAAAATAAACATAAAACGGTTCTTTCGGAGAATCAGTTGGTTGCTATTTGATCTTTAAATATATAAATAAAGGTGTTCTCACCCTAGGTCCTGGGGGTCCGACTAATCCTTTTTCTCCCTTCATTCCAACGGATCCCGGAATGCCGTAGTCTCCATCGGTCCCTCTCTCACCCTTCTGTCCTGGGAATCCTATGTCGCCTTTGTCTCCTGGCATGCCTTTATCGCCAGGGGCCCCTACTTGAGCTGTCTCGTTGATATGCTGTCCGCTGTCTGCAGGTTCGCCCTTCTGTCCCCTGGGTCCCTCTTGACCTTTGTCGCCTTTCTCGCCGGTTTTTCCGATACCTGGACTGCCCTTCTGGCCTTTGGGGCCTGGAGGACCGCGGGGACCCTGAAAAAAAGTTCATTTGATCTCGAATCTTGTGATCGTGACGTATTCAAATATCAAAATTTCCATTGTGTGCAGATGATAGCAAGCTATTCGGAAATACTGCGTTACGAGAAGTCGAAATGATAATAATGATATAAGATGCATCCCTACCGGTAATCCAGATTCTCCGATCGGTCCAGAATATCCTCGAGGCCCTTGCGGTCCCGAGTTTCCTGGAGGTCCAGTGACTCCATCTCTTCCTGGTTCACCTTTCTGACCTTTCAGGTTGATTTCACAACGCGCTGCCTCTCCTTTGGTGCCCTTGCCACCTGGCGCGCCTGGGAATCCCCTTGGACCCGGCTCGCCCGGGAACCCGTCGATTCCTGGGGGTCCCTGGACAGAAAATCACAAGTTGATTAGACTTTTTTTTATTTTTCAGGTAAGGAAGCCTACTTACGTCTGTACCGTTGCATCCGTCTTTCCCTGGCAGACCTGCGGACCCCGGGGCGCCCGGAGGTCCCTGGATCCCTCCGATGCCTGGATATCCCGGAATGCCTTGTCTTCCTCGTTCTCCCTTCGGTCCTCTAGGACCCATCGGCCCTTGATCGCCTTTGTCACCTTTGTCTCCCATCATTCCTTCCTCTCCTGGGTAACCTCGTACACCTTTTTCACCCGGATGTCCGGGAATACCCGCCATGCCCTATAAAAACAACATGCCTCAAAGTCCAAAGAATTTTGGCTCCTCGAAAAGCGCTTTTCGAGCGCAAAAAACTTTGTCGCTCCCGAAACGCCTGTTCGAAGCGGTAAAGTAGTATTTTGCGCTTGCAAACCAAAAGACACGTACCTGATCTCCTTTTTCCGCGAAACATTTCGGCACGCACCTGTCGGTGCCGTTCGAGGTGCTTTCGATGATATCATAGTTGTTAGCGTATGTTCTCCTATTGGCTACTTCGTAAGATGCGTTGTAGTATCCACCGTAACCATCGTATGGTCCTCCGCCTTGCCTGCTCGCCGAACCTGCTCGAGAGACGGTGGAGTACGAAGAGTCCGGGTACTGACCACCTCTGGATACGGCCGAGGAACCATAGCTGCTCGACGATCCTGCGCTAGAGTGTGCTAGAAAACAAAAAGACTCATGAAACGAACATGCTTTGAGACTGAGTGCCGAGACTTACACACTCTGAGGTAGGTATTTATAGTGACGACGACACTTCCTGTGATCTGGTCAACGCCCTGACATCGGTAGGTCCCAGCGTCTGATGGTTGCACATTTTCAATGTACAAAATGCCGCCCCTTTCGAAAGCGTTCCTTTGCAGAGTTGTGTTATCTCCTCTGGACCACCTGATCTCATATCTTATTCCTGGAAGCATAACATATTTATAATTCTGTTCTACAAAGCAATTCTTCTTCTCTCTATTTTCAATAAGAAGAGGTACTGCACTCTTATATCTTACCTTGATTGTCCTGGACTCTGCATCTAAGTTCGGCCCTAGCCCCGATCGTCGCCTCCACGATTTCATTATATGCTGAAAAAAGGAAAAAAAAACATATGAAATCGAGAAAATGTTATGCGAGTCTTTGATATTGAGTATAATAGCATTGTTTGTTATCCCTCTCTGGACGAGATAACAAAACACAGGCTGCAAAAATTATGTCTGCAAAAGGTTAAGAAATATCTAGCACAAAAAAGTTGTGATAAATTATTTACCGAAATAGTGCTGTAAGTGGTGCCCTCTAGAAGTTTGGCCATACAAAATAACGGATTTTTGTTTCTCGTACTAGAAGATCTCCCAATACCGAGTTTTATGCCAAAATCTGAAATATTTCTGAAGCAATAAGGAAAAGTAGAAAATAAAATTGTAACTTTAACACCCTGTATCTCGCAGACTATCAACTTTTGGACTAAGGTATGTTTAAGTCAATTCACATATCTTGGTCTGTATCTCCAGTTTCGAGATTTCCCAACCATTCGCAGACACAGTGTATAAACAGTCCCAGAAGGTACGATCACGATTCTCACTCAATAATTTTCATGAATTGAAAAACCTTTCTGAAGAAAAAAAGTACGCCGATGTGGTGGTTGCCGATTTGGTATGCAATAATAGTCAAATTAAAACTACACAATTTCACGTGTATCTGATCCCGTTTATCATTTAGATCTAATTATTTAGCGAAAAATTGCAACACTACGCGTTTTTGCAGCTCAACTACACAATTTTGGCGACAAAAATGCAATGTAAACCTATTCGAATCCGTTGTTGTATACAGAAAATACCAACCTGTCCTGGAATCGTAAGCTCCTGCGGCACCGTAAGTGGCTCCTACAGTTCCGTAAGCCCCTTGGGCTCTTCCTGCGGCGTCGTACGACCCCCTAGAAGCCTGTCCGCTCAAGGACACACTGCCATTGTAGCTACTGTATGGCGATGGAGCTCCAAGGTCTCCTCTAATGTTCGCTTGGCCTCCCGCGTACGATCCTGCTGTGCCTAACGAACCTTGCACCGAATTGTATGCGCCGCCACTGCCTTGTTGGGACCTGTATGGCGGACCTGAGGGTTCAACCGAAAAAGTAGCGTCAGTATGTTTCACCGAATTTAAGTTTTTAATGTTGTTCCAAATTGAATTTTATATTTCGCCGTTTATGCAATTTCTAATGTATTTTGGGCATTGTGAAGGTCTTTTTTTTAAGCTCGTATGTCACGAACAAATTTTTCATTTATTTATTCGACAAGAAATTGCATAAGTAAATATTGGATATGTTTCGCTATTCTCCGGTTTTTAGGGGTCGCATGGGTCAAAATGGAAGTAAAGATGCAACTTGCAATAACTTTGAAGCCATTTGTAATATACTAATCATTCGAATCATAAGCTTTATGGGACGGATGTTTTGGTCTCGCTACATAATCCTCATTTCCATAAGTATGGTGCGCGGTTGTTTCCCGGTTATGAATAGGCCCTAAATGCTTCTTGTACAATAAACAAAACGAAACATTTGATCGTGACATCTGGGCTTCGAAAATACCTCCAGTCACTCCGTAAGAGATCCTCCTGCTTCCATAGACGGCGGCACCCCTATGCTGCCCTCCTTGAGCATTTGGTGGAAGTGTCGTCTCCTTATCGTACTCCCCTGTGGTGTCATGCCCTTCCTGTCTGCTCTGGTAAGCCCTTCCACCTCCGAACCTTGTTTCGTGCCGTCTCGACGCTTCATAAGGGTCAATGTGGGATGACGTGTCGTCGTCTACCGGATCTTGGTCTCCCCTAAAAGACACCGGCAATTACTTCAACAGTTACGAAATGTTGCGAGGAAGAAGCTCATGTTGACATAGAGGCTAGATGAAATACCTGCTCGTTTGTCACCCTTTGCTTCGTCAAAGTTTTGAGTCTGAAACAAATTTTTTCTGATATTTTTGAAAGCGATCGTCAAATTTTAATAAAACCTGGAATAATTTTGCAATTTTAAAATCACATATTGATGGAAATATGTTATATGCAGAGACAAAAAGTCGAGGACCCATTATGGAACCTTGAGGAACACCAAACTTCATAACTGTTGACTCCTATAAGTCCGAAGCTGATATTGCACGTTTTGATGTCTATTTGACAAATTAATAATGGCGTAACAAATTGACGGCAGCGTCAGTAAAGCCGAAAAAAGAGTTTAAGCAACATTTCATGTAATATGAAAAAAACGCAATACCTCAATTTCGGATTTTTTTACGATTACAATAATTGCTCGCCAGTGGCGCAGGAAGTAAAAGGATCCGATTTCTATGAAGAATACCGAAGGTCAAGGGTTTTTCCGGAAGAGCCCCTTCTATCAGGAACTCTGTATTCCTTGCTAAAAATACTCACCGATCGTCGTATTCTGTGTCGTCAAAGTCCGATGGAAATCCGAATTCACGCTGGTTTGACGGTTGATTACTTTGAAATTGCTGAAACAAAAACAATTTCTATTGTAACTTTTTATCTTCAAAGCATTACTAAGGTAAACGTAACAATAGAACACCTCCAACTTATCCTTCTTTGTAGTACTGAGTCGTATACAATAAAGAACGATTTAAAATACGTGAAAAATCATTACGAAATATCTTTCACTCTGTCTGTATTGCAAATAAATGCTCGAAAATCCAACATTTTAAAACCATTAAGCCAATTTATTCTTCTTGCGGATTATTAGTTAAATGTACACGTCCATTAAGTTTTAAATTACATCTTGACACACTTTTTTCGAAAATCCGCTCGTCTCGGCCAGCGTTGGCAACTCAATTTCGCCGAGAAGAAATTTCGTTCCTTTTTGGGGGAATTTTCGGGTGGTCCTGCCAAAATGCAAGCCAAGATAATAATGTAATTTCTTATAATTACAGGGGGAGATGGAATAATTGTATAAGCAAGTAACTGGGTTGCAATTATTTTTTATATGTGGTTTGTTTTCGTACGTACATAATATTTCTGATGAATCATAAAAGGAGAGTCTAGAAGGAGCGTATTTAAATGGGAAGAAGATTGGACGGAATCTACCATTTAGCTTGTTAGTCCATATTTTCTAGGCAAAGATTTGTATAATATTATTCCACCAACTTTAAAAGATATAGTCCAAATAACGCACCAAAATTGAATTAAAATCGTGGATTCTAAGTCATTCAAGACTATTTATACATATACTCATAGACATCAAAAACGTCCTATCACGAAATTATATTTATCATTAAGTATATGCAAATTATGAATTTGACAATTACATAAAACGTTTTGTATTTCAACACATTTCAAGTTTGATTTGTTATATCCCAAGAACAAGTACAAGCTCATACTGTTTTGCAAAAAATCACGTTAACACGCACAGCCCCCTGGGCGGAGGTGACACCAACCCTAAAATATTAAATGGAAAGGGGGGTCGAGTGATACCTTATTTTAAAGGTCTTTCAATTCTTTTTATAATGATGTAAAATACATGAGCTTGAGTTCAGTAGTTTTGAAGATTTATTGATTTAAAGCTTAAAGTAGACTTTAATAGGTACATCAGATTAGTTTGTACTATTTTCAGAAGAAATTTGACTAAAAGAATTTACTCAATAAGTAAATGCTTTTCTTCACTACGCCCATGGTTTGTTTATCATTTGGTTGTTGAAAATATACTAAGTGACATATAAATCCGAACACCCAGTTTAAATGGTTTTATTTTAATAAAAGTTGGTGAATGTATTTATCTTACTGTAAATAACAAGTGAAAAAATTTTCAGCCTTATCAGATGGACATTCCGGTTTTTATACTGCTTTTTTTTAATTCACTAACGCTCTAAAAATGAATATTTCAGCCGCAGTTAAGAATCAACGTTGGCGGATTTTGGTTCTTGACGTCCTTTACGATCGGTTACGATGCCTAGAGTACGGAGACCTGTACGATTTCGTCAACTTAGTGAGTTTGATAGGGGCCGTATAGTGGGACTTCGGGAAGCTGGACTTTCGGGCAATTGCAGTTAGAGTGCAAAGAAGTTTAGACACTGTGGTTAGGTGTTGTCAGGCATGGCTTCGAGAAGGCCGTACGCAAAGAGCAAGGGGCACTGGACGCCGTCGTAGAACAACAGACCGTGAAGATCGCCGCCCAAGATTATTGGCCTTAAGGGACCGTTTCTCCACTACCAGGTCCATTGCAAATGAATGGTTTGTAGAACACGGAAGACCTATTGGCATGCGAAGTGTTTACCGACGAATGAGAAGTTTTGGCTTGTTTTCATACCGGCCACACTGGGTCCTCTCTTTAACTCGAGAACACCGACGTAATCGCCTTGAGTGGTGCAGACAACGGTCACTCTGGGATCAGGAATGGAACAGTATTGTCTTTAGTGACGAGTCTCGATTTTGTTTAGGCATGCACGATGGTCGTGTCAGGGTTAGAAGGCGACGTGGTGAAAGGAGGAATCCACAGTTTTTTGTTGAAAGACATGTTCATCACACTGTTGGAGTTATGGCTTGGGGTGCTATAGCTTATGGTTCCAGGTCACCTTTAATCTTCATCAGAGGTAACATGAACGCGCAGCGTTATATCCACGAAGTTCTAGAACCCCATCTTTTACCCTGGCAGATCTAACTTTCCAACAAGATAATGCCCGACCACATGTTGCAAGAGTCACAATAGACTTCTTTCAACATAATGATGTCACATTGTTACCATGGCCATCAAGATCTCCCGACTTATCCCCCATTGAGCACGTGTGGGATATGATGGGTAGGAGATTGCTCAGTTTGCAACGTCCTCCTCAGACTCTAGAAGCACTTCGAGAGGAGTTGGTGGTTGCCTAGAATGAGATACCACAGCAGGACATTGACCACCTGATCAGAAGCATGCCTAGGCGCGTTGGAGAATGCGTAGCACATCAGGGTGCATCCACACATTATTAAAGGTCAAAGGACTTTAAAGCAGTGCAATCATTTTGAAATTTTTATCATTTACTTATTATGCTTCATTAAGTACTTATACAAAATTTTATTAAAATAAAACCATTTAAACTGGGTTTTCGGATTTATATGTCACTTAGTATATTATTCATGTAACATTTTGTATTTTAACCAATAAACATTATCGTTATTATTATACAGGGTGTTCAGTAAATGGTACGACAAACAAATGGGAATGAAAGGCGAAAGGCAGATCTACAACATAGCAAAAAATGACGCTAGTACAAGTTTCACTGTTTTTGAGATATTAATTTTTGTGTCTTTTTCGATAAATTTCTTCGTTTGATCTACCTGTTGTTGCTGATTAAGCAGGTAGTTTATCGCAGTACTTTGCAGTAACAGTCCAGTACATTTTTATTTCATTGCTGGATACCAATGTTGAGTAAAATAGTTTTCTAAAATAAAATTACAAAGAAGAAATTAGTTTGTCAAGTTTAACTACTTGTATTTATCGGAAATGATATTTCAAATGACAGACCAACTATTTGAGAATATTTTGCAAAGAAAAAATCAAACAGCTATCCCGTTATTTCTCGGCACAGAAACAAAAGATGGATTAAGAAAAAGAGACAAAGAAAAATAATATACAAAAACAGTGAAACTTTTACTAGCGTCATTTTTTGGTATGTTGTTGATCTGCCTTTCGCCTATCGTCCCTATTTTTTTGTCGGCTTTTATGGGAAATATATTTTCTCGTATTATTTCAAACAAAATTATCAAAATGTTTGGAAAATCAGTCGTGTTGAGTATTTAAACGTTACTTAAACATATGAAAAACCTTTAAATTTTTTGCCACGTGGTTTTCGTCATAAAGACTTTTTCGCATATTTAATTTTGTATAGGAAAATTGTTTCCAGCACCCTCGTAGATGCAACGAAACTGTGTACATGGCATACCCAGGTTGAAATATCCAACCCGTACCAATATCAAGCAGACTTCCCGACCATACCATAAATATGAAAGATGTACGGTTGTACATTACGAGTACCTCTCACCCGAAATTTTCGCTTTAATTGCAACGATAATTGAGCGTCGAGTACGGCCGGTTTTTTTACTGATTGCAAGATTAACATTTGGATGCAATATAAAATTCGAGGCCCTCTTTGTGCAATCTCCGCATTTTATTGCGCGGTTTTGGGCGCCTGACATTTCTTCCATTCCACCACAGATGAAAAATAGCCAACGGTTTATTAAATGAACGTTAAACTCTTGCCGGTTTTGGTTTATTGAGTTAAGCTGAGTTAAGCATCAAGATGGTTCAGATATCGCCATATAATAGGGTCGTTTGAACAATACATATACAGGGTGTCCCGAAAACAGTGTGCAATATTCTACCAGCGTTTTCTAGAGCTTAAAATAGGAAGAAAAGTTCATATAAACATAGGTCGACAAACCTCCCCTAAGGGCGCTACGGTCTTTTAAAGGGGCTCCCCTGAAGATGGTTTTTCCTTAATATTTCCAAAGCGTGTTGAGATAAAGACATAAAATTTGGTATTCTAGCCTAGTTTTTTATGCTGGATTTATAAATATTAACAATTTTATACAGTTTTGTTTGGAAGCGTATGTAACAGGGACGGACTCAGGTTATTTTAACCCCAAATTTTTTGTGTGATTCTATTTTTGAAATTCAATTTTAGAATTTGAAAATTTAGGGTTTTCTTCATAATAAAGGTACTCTTATTGAATGTCGATAAATTGTGCCATTTTTGAATAAAATCAAACTAAAAAATTTGTCACATGATAGGAAATGTACTGCGAATTTAAATGAATTGTTGAATAATTTAATAATTGGTGAATATTACATAAATATGTCGCGACCAAGAATGGTACATCGCACACAGGACCACATTTTAACATTTTTCTTCCTCGAGGACTTCATTAAAAAGATACGGGGTGTTTGGGGAAGTTTGAAAATAAAAACATTTTTTTAATATCTTCGAAACCCTCATCTGGAATGAACTAAAATTTGGTGTGTGTATTGTCCAAATTCGGAAGTTTTTTTTATTTTTACGAAAACAATGCAGTCTAGGAAAAAAGACAAGACTAATAATTTGTAGCGAATTGAAGGTAAAATTCGAAAAACTGCGTGTTAAAAAAAAAACAGTGGCGTACTATTTTTATTTAGAAAAATAATGCCACTAGTCCACTATATCTCGGCCAGTGGTGCAAGTTAATTTTGAGTAAAGACTCTTAAATGTGGACAATACTTAGGTAAATCCACGATTCATTCCTGTTTACGGTGTTCAAAATTCCTCGAGGAAAAAATGTCACATAGAAGACCCCCTTAAAATGCGGAACTATGTATGATGTATCGTTTTTGGTCACGACTTGTGAATCACCCTGTAGATTCTCTGTACTTATTAAGCAATCTAAGTATAAACGACTTATTACAATGAAAAACACAATACCAATAATCTATTTTTACGACATTACGCTAAAATCTGCCTTGCATCTGCAATCCGCAGCTTTGTCACAA